TCAGTCTCATCACCATCAGATCTTTCAGCAGAAACTGGATGTGATCTTTCCAAGCAAAGACTGAGATTGTATTTCTTCAAATACCTCCGGCAGCACTGAGAAATATCTGAGGATGTAAGTATATCAGGTGAATTGATCTAACCTTTGGTAAGCGATACCTCATCTTAGGCACATTGAATATGTGAAGAAGGGAGGGAGCAATCATAGAGTTGATGAAATTTTATGTAGTCGTCCGCCTAGTCTACGATAAATTTGAAGCATTTCGGAACTTCGAAAGCATCTTTTACACTTAATCATCTGTAAAAAGCAAATATTACACAAGTGACTTTGTTTTCCATCCGTTACAACCAACTGAAAGAGATCAAATCTTCAAACTTCATACCGCTTTTATTAACTTACCCCTTAATATTCTTATTGTAAACGAATCCAATGCTTATCCCATCCGCGAAATCTACACTCATATCAACTTGTCCCCTTAAGCATAAAACTGTCTATCTGACATTATTATTATTGCTATTTTAACGCCTCCCTCAGTAAAGTACAACAAGTATTAGGCACAACGTATATGCGAAGGAAAATCTACCAATCAAAAGGTGCTCAACTGACCTGCAACTGCTCGGCCTCTTCGCAAGCCATTTGTGATACTATCTCCCGTCTAAATACTGTGCAATTCTCGAAAGAAATGAAGAAAAAATGCGCAGAATTAGTTCTCTCTTCCTATACAAAAATACTGCATCACATGATATACTGTAGATTAAATCTCCACGCGTAAATCCTTCATGAAGAGGAAGCATTTTAAAACTAAATACTCTGCCGATTTTGTCGGAGTTAAACTGTCACAGTCAAAACTACAGTGGCTTTGAACAACCAGTCGGAATTTAAGCCCAACAAAGTCGCGTCGTGGTTGAAAAATGCAATTAAAACATCGCGAAAATCATTTCATACTATATAGTTGTGTGTTGTAAAAATGTCCCCCAGTAAGAAATCGTTTCGCTAGCGGTATTTCAATTCATCCAGGTGACTGGAGATCCGCTAATATTGCTGACACGGTTTTTCAACCTGCTCCTACCTCTAACCGTAAACCTACCTCCAAATCCTAACTTTAACCCTGAGCCTAGGCTTAACCCTGGAACTTTGAACATTGATTTAAAAGGGCGTAATTCTACCTAAAAGGAGAGATTTGCAGATAAAGTAGCTGGTAAATATGTACAGTACTGTATCTACTCTCCAGAAGTCCAAAAAGGCAGACAAGGTGTCAATGCAGTTGAAAATTGAACGATCAATTCATGGTTGTTTGCTCAAAACCAACTTACCCAATTTTCGCGGAGGCATCAATACGACAGTCATTGTCTCATCGGTCGCTGTTCATAAAGAAGTCAGCAGAAAACCGTCAGAAGTAATATTGTGATTTATTATTGTAATATTTGTTCACAGACCTTGGTGGAAACATTGTTTATATGTTGGTGTAACAATAAAGAATCCTCGATTGGCCAATCGGTGTTTTGGTTTTTGCGTCCGTTATTACTAAGCGTTTCTGAGAAACTTCAAGTAACAGCGTGAGCCCGAGTGCAGCAAGAGCTGGGCATTAACGGTTTACGAGATGTGACTGACAAAAGGATTTAGATTTAGAATGATATTTCACAGAATTCCATATATCTATTCGGTTCTTGAAGGTCAATTCGTGAAAGATCCTGACATTGATTATGATACTTCAACTTCGCCCAAACTTCTGATGTCTGAAGTAAAGCTTTACTATCTATTTTAATTGCTAGTATCTTCCATGTTTGTGGTACTTCTGTCCTCTATTCGCAGTGTTTCTTTGTCTTCCTTTACTTTTTGCCGGAAACTGGTTCGTTTTCCCTCTTTGGCTTCAAAACCGATAATGTCTCCATATATATAACTGACAAATCTCGTCAGTAGCCCATAAGACATACTTGTAATTAAATGTTATCAACCGTTTGTTTACTATGAATACGAACAAAGTGATTAAAAGGCAACCACATCGTAATCTAATCCTAATTCTTTCAGTCTTGAAAAGTCTCTCAATGCTTTGCGAACCTTCTCCTCGCTTAAGAAACGTCTTAGTATTTTCTCACGAAAACTTCCGATTGCATCTGTGCTGCTGTCATTCACATTAATTACCTACGATTAACATTACCAAGAGACTTTGCAAACCACATAAAACCATAAACAGGAGTACCTACCTATGGAAAATCAAAAATCCAACTCACTGCCATTATCCAAGCCGATGAAAGACACATTAAAGAGAGATGAATTTGAAGGGGCGATGACGTTTATCCTCAACCATAAAAATACACTATGAGTAACCTTACCTAAAATTAATTGGAAACCATAAATTATGTTAGAGTATTCTGAGTTAATTTCTGTGGTCTATAACATAATGAAAGCTTAAATCAAACAACAGGATGCAAAACTCACTCGTTTTCCAAAGTTCGTATGGAAAGTGTTGATATGGGATATATAATGTTTAGATTGGACAAAGATTAAAACAACTGTGAATTCACTGAGACACTGTGGTTCGCTTAAGTTCACATTAGGGAGATACTAAGGTTAGAGTCCAGACACTCGAACGAGGTCACTAGTCCGGCTGGTCAAAGCTGAACTCCTCCCATTAATTGATGTGTGTGTGACAGAATACACAGTCAAAGCATATAACTTAAAAATCTCTTAAATGTTTTATGGTCTAATGTCTCATTTGTCGCGAGATTGTCCTAGGGCTGGAGTTTGTTTTTCTGTGCTGCGAATGTGACCGCGGGACTTCAGTCGATGGATTTGTTTACTGGAGCACCGTTAGCACCTTTCGAGGTTGATGGTGTGTTTGGTGATCTTGATGGGTCGGAAACATCTTCAATAGTGGCAGATGCGAGCACTCATATCAAGAGAGTTATATCGATCCCTCTAGAGGGCAGTTTTTTGTCTTTTGAAGACTCACTAACTGATCTTGTTGGGACTTTTGATGAAAAAATATATCACTGCTTTGAGAACTTTGATGTAGATCCTGAAAATGCAAAGCCACGTCACGCAACGACTAGTGTAGCTACGTTGAGTGATGTCAAGTAGGTTTAGCATTCCTTATAAATATGTTAGGCGATGGTGGGCGGCTGCCACTTCGGACTTTGCACCTAATGGGTCCTACCCACTTGAAACCCTACCGAGTGATATTAATTTATATGATTTGGTGAGTAATTATCTGGTTTTTGAAGTCTGCCTTGTAATTACCCCACACTTGTCTGCAGAATCCAACTTGGTTTAATATGGTCTTCTGGAGCTTTCTTATACAGTCACTATTCATTTTAAGTTTTCCATATTAATATGTTTGTAAGATATATCACACAGTAAAATAGTGTTATTTATCGGATGGCTTTCTGAATGAATCACAATCATATCAATTCTAATTACCCAGCTCCAAAACCTTTCTCATGGTTTCCTTTATAAATCAAAAGTTGTAGTCGTAATTGATGTGATCATGGACAATAATTTGTGTTCGGAAAGTCACCGATTAAATAATGTTATTTCACTTTATGATTTATCCAGTAAATAAATTATATATATATATATATGCTGCATCACTGACTGCCTCTTCAAGCAGTCTTGTTTAAAGTAGTGTTCGATTACAGATAAGTACGGGATCATGTCAATAAAAGGTGCTAATTTATTGACATTGACTACTGATCTGAACTAGGTAGGGATATTCACATCACCTGGTTCAAGCCCTCACTCGTGGTGATATAGTTAAAAAGTCACCAGCAGTAATACAAATGTATTCATACCTTGTCATATTTCAGATCCTAAACGTACTCTCTGATCCTCTTTTTTTCCTCGGCTGAAAATATTAATTTAATCTTTTTATCGGGTTAATTATCTCCGGTTTTATATCTGTCTGTCTGTTTTCGACATAGAACTTTGCACAAATGTGCGGAAGTTCGAGTCGCCACATTCCGTGTAGCACGCGAAGCAAGAGAAGAAAGTACAAGAAAAGCATAATAGAAACAGTGGCAGAGGTGTGAGACAAAGGAGTAATAACGAAGAACAAAACAGTTTCATTGGAGATCATAAATCACAGGGAGTGGATGCATCTGCGCCACTGAGAACGGTTTTGAGCCATGTCAGCAATTGTTTCCAACCATAGATTTTTACCGTCCCGAGGACCCCAGCCTGGAAGTCTACACCTTCCTACGTGACTGGCTTAGACCAACTGTTGTGGATTTCATTGACTGATGCGAAGTTTTTGTTTGACCGCCGCTAGCTTTTTTCCAGCCTGACCCTATATCCGCTAACATTGCTCGTCGAGGGAGGCGATGACTTGGCATATGTAACACATGTCCTAACCATCTCAGTCTTTGTAGCTTCACGACTTCGTCGATTGATTTCCCCTGTCTACCTAGAACTCTGAGCCTAACCTCCATGTTGCTCACCTTATTATGCCACTTTACACGGGAAATAGAACGCAGGCACCTATGATCAAAGACAGCTAGTCTTTTCATGTCTTCCACTCTCAGTGGCCAGGTCTCACAACCATAAAGGAGGACGGAGCGGACTGATGAGCAGTACACCCGCCCTTTGGTCGATAGTCGAACATCTCGTCTACGCCTTTTCGAAGTGCGAGCACCTTTGTGTAAAGATCTTCGTTAATTTAGTGCTTAAATCTAGAATGATAGCAGTTCGAACCATTAGTACATAAATTAATAAGTCGTTTAGCGTAGTTCCTCCGATCAGTGACCGAATCAAGTTATGTACGACAAGCCTATTTTTATTATTTATTTTTATTTTTTGATTACAGCTTGATTCCACTCCGTATTTTTGGTACAAATGTGGAATTTTCAGCGTGGATATCGGTAGCCCAAAATTCGCAGGCCGACCATAGATATCAGATGTGCGTCGGCGTGGGCTCGAACCCCGGACCATTTGCATGGTCGGCGAGAGTCTTAACCACTGTGCCACCGACGCATAGAAGTCACCTCACAAGACTGGCCAGAGAGTAGATATATTGTAGCATGCATAGCAATGCTATAGCGACAAGCGCTTTTAAGGGAAGCTAGTGCCCACCCAATTAAGTGAAGTCATCCGTGCCAACCAATTTACTGTATGAATGGCTTCAATACGTAGACTTGTGGAAACCATCGATAGTCATACTCCTGGTGGTTTAAACATTCGACTTACAGCCAGTGGGCCTGGGGTCCGAGTCCACCCCAGTTGCCTCAGTCTGGGCTACTGAGTATTACCACCAGCCCTCAGACAATCAGTGTGACTCATAGTTCGGCACCTGGAAAATGTGTTCCGGATAACAGGTCAGAAATATCAGTCATATTAGCGAGGTGAAAAGAACATAACCCATTTTCAAACCTATTAAGCTTCTGCTAGTTATCATAGCATATGTGTGTAGTAAGCCGGACAGCCTAACTGAGTGTTAACAGGCCCAAACAGGCTCAAAACCGCTAATCGCAAGTTGCATTACCCCTGTCGCGCATCCCTTGGTCCTTTGGGAGCCTTACACCAATTTCTATTTTTCAACTCGTATAACATTCGGGCTGTCTGCGTACATAGTCGAAGTAACATATTATTACTATTCACATGGTTTCCGAGTGGAGCATACAAATTCAACAGCACTTTTTCCTGTTTTCTGCGGTCCTCTATAGGTAGCCCAACGTTTGACACAAACTTTCATCTTGTGACACGAACTCCATGTCATCCCCAGACGCCCAAGTTGTCGTCTCCCGTTCAGCTTCCACTCGAGGGCCTGGCACGTGTTGCTTTATGGTCTCATCATCGTGCGTCCGATCCAGCTGCATATTTATCGTCGTACCCATTGAGCAATAGGCTCTTCATTGGTTCATTTCCAGAGTTTTTTTCTGTTGCTAATTCTTCCTGGCCATCTGGTCTTCACTATGGATCGAAGATAGCTGTTGATAAAAGTCTGCAGCTGGCTGTTGGAAATGCTTTTCGTAACACACATGCCAGGTTTCTGACCCATCTGGAAGAAATGAATTAAGATTGGTGTTGAAAATCCGAATTTTATGGTTTTGTTCGGGGCGCAGAAGATTTCAAAACTGATTTAAAAGTAATGGAGACGAATTAATGGCATCAATAAATTTAATTGATCATATGTGGGAGCAGTATATTATACCATGCTTGTAACCGAAAATGCATTCCAGGACTTCAATACGATTTGTCATCTTTAATAGTTTTGTATGTTCAATCCCTGTAATGAACAAGTTTTTCAAATTAATTACAAGAGTTCATCCACTTACTTTTTTGTAAAAAATACCAGCGAATTCGTTCCTATTTCATCCAAGTATTGAACATTTTATGTTTTCTGACAAGGACTTAGTGTAGCTGTCATACCTATTCAAGATTGTCATACACACCTTTTAATTTCTTAGGTTTCGAGTAAAAACTAAGACCTCAAGATTTTTAAAAGTCTTAGTAGCTGTCATGTTTTCCTTTCATAGAGTGAGGCTGCTAGTCCCACACCCAACTTTCTTTCCCCGGCTTACTGTTGCCTAGTAAAACAGACAGGGTCAGCTAGGAATAAATAACACCAATAGGAGCACAATGGTATTGTCACAGAAGACCAGAAGTGAGGAAAAATCAGTTTTTTCAATCCAGTAAAATTATCTTCAGCCTATTATCTTTCTGCAACTCTTGCATCAATCTACTGGCATGAAGTGTGCCAAATAATACTACTTGCACTTCTGTTTACCAGAGGAATAAAGGAATGCTCAGACAAAATTTCTCTATAACGCGATATACTGTTATTGTGTCTATTTTGATATGTGTTCCCTTGATCATCCTTTCATCATTCCATTTCATAATTGAAGCATATTGCATTTTGTATTTCCACAAAATAATTCCAGTTTCAAAAATGGTAGTGTAAACTAAATTTGACGCAGTTGTAACTTTAATGGGGAGACGTGTGTAGTTTTTTCACTCTACATGATTGTCCATACCAGTTGTCTTATCCAAAATGAACCATAAATCGCCCTTGTTACTTAGTTGCAATGTGAATTGGCTGTTTATTTCTCTAAAAATTCATTCTTTCAATGAAATAGGATACTCTGATTATTTTCAATTTCTTATCTACAGAACCAATTTGAGCTTGCAGATGCAGACGGAATAACAGAGGATGATATTATTAAAACAAACTTGCTGCACACGAACAAAGTAAGTCGTATCATAATTACATTATTAATTTTTTTCTATGAGTAATTTTAGAGGTGCTTTGTTATGAGTTCTAAATTAGATGGATTTTAGAATATGGTGAAAACGATGCGTGTACGATAACATGGCTCATCTCCTGGTGCCCGTGTTGTACTAAGTTCCTGTTTAAATAAATGAATGAATATAATGACACGGAAACAGTTATTCGTATCAGGCTATTATGTTCTTGAGTAACAGTCTAAGTATATGGCTGTACTGCATTGGCTTAAACACGGGACTTGTGGCTTTCAGCTCAAAAACGTAGTACATATATTTCTGTCTGAGCTGCAAATCCTATATTGGCTAATTGGGCCTCCCAATAATTTGTCTCAGTAATTTTAGTAGTATGAACATTACTGAGCCATGGTAAAACATTGACTCCGTCATATAGTTAACCCTTACTGATTAAATAATATTTTGTATGATGCAAATAAATGCATCCTCATTATTTAGCTAGTGTAACACTGATCTATCAAGCCTAGTTGTTGGAACTTCCATTGCTTATTGATAGGAGTGATGTACAACTACTGGTGTCAATCTGTGTCACATTCTAACTGTATTTTAAGACACGAGTGAATTTCACGTTTCTGTCTTCAAAATTTGCTTTTCAAAGGATATCAGAGCGTAAATTCCCACTCAGGTGACACCTACTAGTGAAAAATTATTTTCTACCATGTACAAATAGATGGCTAAAGTAGGTAGTACGGTTTAGCGCTGTTTGAATTACTTCTGTCTGGATTCAACATAGAACTTAGCACCGAAGTGCAGCAGTTCGAGTTGCCGCTTCAATTATTTGGGTAGTACCATCAGCCCCAACGGGTTGATCTCTGACGAAATCTCAGCACGAATACAAGGGGCTCGTTTCGCATTTGTTAGTTTACGCCGACTCTGGCGTAGACGAGATGTTCGACTATCGACCAAAGGGCGGGTGTACTGCTCATCAGTCCGCTCCGTCCTCCTATATGACTGTGAGACCTGGCCACTGAGAGTGGAAGACATGAAAAGACTAGCTGTCTTTGATCATAGGTGCCTGCGTTCTATTTCCCGTGTGAAGTGGCATAATAAGGTGAGCAACATGGAGGTTAGGCTCAGAGTTCTAGGTAAACAGGGGAAATCAATCGACGAAGTCGTGAAGCTACAAAGACTGAGATGGTTAGGACATGTGTTACATATGCCAAGTCATCGCCTCCCTCGACGAGCAATGTTAGCGGATATAGAGTCAGGCTGGAAAAAAGCTAGCGGCGGTCAAACAAAAACTTCGCATCAGTCAATGAAATCCACAACAGTTGGTCTAAGCCAGTCACGTAGGAAGGTGTAGACTTCCAGGCTGGGGTCCTCGGGACGGTAAAAATCTATGGTTGGAAACAATTGCTGACATGGCTCAAAACCGTTCTCAGTGGCGCAGATGCATCCACTCCCTGTGATTTATGATCTCCAATGAAACTGTTTTGTTCTTCGTTATTACTCCTTTGTCTCACACCTCTGCTCACTGTTTCTATTATGCTTTTCTTGTACTATCTTCTCTTGCTTCGCGTGCTACACGGAATGTGGCGACTTGAACTTCCGCACATTTGTGCAAAGTTCTATGTCGAAAACAGACAGTCAGACAGTTCGAGTTGCCACGTTCCAAATAGCACACAGAAGTAGACAAGAAGATGAGTAAAGAGAATCAATAGAGTTTGACAAGTATAAGAGTGAAACAGAATGGGTAATGATAGAAAGGAATATGAAAGATTACAGAGACTGAATACATCTGCGCCATTGACAACGATTTTGAGCCATGTCACCTATTGTCTCCAGCCATTGATTCCTAGAGTCAGTCCCGAGGGCCCCAACACGGAAGTCTGCATCTCCCTAACTGACTCAGTTTAACTGTCAAGGATTTCATGGATTGATGCCATGTTTTTGTTTGGCCACCACTTACTCTTTTCCAACCTGTACCTATATCACCTAGTAATGCCCGTCGGGGGAGGCGATGGTTAGGCATGCGTAGCACATGACCTAGCCATCTCAATCTATGTAACTTTATAGCCTCGTCGATTGATTTTCCCTCTTTGCCCAACACTCGACGCCTAACGTCAACATTACTTACCTTATTATACCACCTAACGTGAGAAAGAGATCGTAGACATCTATGATCGAAAGCAGTCAATCTTTTCATGTCTTCAACTTGTATTGACCATGTTTCAGAGCCATAGAGGAGGACGGAGCGAACTGCTGAGCAGTACACATGTCCCTTGGTTGATAGCCGGATGTCAACGCCTACGCCAGAGATGGTGTAAGTCAGCGAAAGCAGCTCGAGCTGTTTTGGATCCGTGCTGAGATTTGAATTACTTGACTGATTTGGATCAATCTAATCAAACCAATAAGGAGCCTAGTCGTAATCAATCACCTTTCAATTAAACCGTCTTTATCTTCTAATGATTACAATTGATTGATGTGATTATTCATACGCATACAATATGTCACAATGTATCATCATTTGGAGAGCATTACTGATTTATGTTTTATTTATTTATTTAAACGCACAAAAACTTCGTACAATATGGCACCAAGAAGGATGCGCCACACAATAATAATAAAACAACATAGATCAAAAAAAGATATATATATATATATAAGTAGAGAACGGATAAAGAACTTCATCTGGAAGGAAAACAAGTTCAAACAGTACTCGTTAACTATCATAGGGAAGGGAAGAAAGAAGGAAATTGTAACACGTGTAATAGCACGCGATAAGTTTCATTGATTGTTTGTTGCTTTATTCAATTCATTGTGTGAGGGCTGAGATACTGTCCGGGCGCCCAAACCGAAGCAGGTGGTTTTATTAAGGGACTTGGAGTCTAATCCGCAAGGCGGTGGAGCACCGTCAGGAGCTGCATTCCTATGGTTTCCGGTGACCCATATGGGTTCATACGCCATCTGATCCGATTGGATACTGGGACTCATGTACCCCATGGTAACTGCTTTTAGTCTAACCACTATCCAAACAACCTTCCTGCCATGGTAGAACCTGCAGGGACAGGGTCCGAGTCAGTTTAGCATGTTGGGTCATTACGGTATTCAAGCCCGACCACCACAACAAGGTAGCAGTTATCGGGCGGGGATTTATGTTTTACTAAAATAGGTAAGCTCTTAGATTGAAAGTCTATGCATATTCTCTTTTGCAATGTAGTAAACGTTAATGTTAAGTTGCTTTTAAAAAACGGAACTTTGCTTTTTCATAGGCCTTACATTATTCAAATGAATCTATCTGTTCTGCACGGGGTACTGTTACAACTTTATCTGTATCATCTACATCAGCTAGTCCTCGTTCATTAACACTTGATCGAATGTCTCCAAGTGAATACATTCAGGCTTCAAAAATTGGAAATTCAAATATTGATAACAAAGTTAATGGGATTCATTTTGAAGGAAATCACAATGATCGAATTATTCTTGAAATGTTTCAATCCCACCATCCCTCTCTTCCTTTAAGAAGAACTCAAAACTGGATAGATGGTAAGCATGTGATTTCTGTAAATGCAAGTTTCAGGTCGTTACTTTGTAGTTATCTTCGACATCGTAGTCAAAATCAGACCAGATGTTTGTTGTTGTGAAGCTATAATTTGGACGTATTCACTTCGGTTACACCGTACTTATCAGTTTTGAAGTCGAATGGCAAGACATCATGGATGAATGATGCTTTACTCACTTAAGACAACTTTTGATTGTCTTCATATTAAACTGAGTGCTTGTCGTTTGTATACAAAGCAAAAACCAAAGTAGGATAAAAATCAACTCACTAAATAAGATACAGTCAAGAACACTGATAAAAATCACTAAAAAATTAATAGTCCCCTTCTAGTGTGAGACTGTCATTCTTTCTACTTTATTACCGCTCGAAATATAAATAGCATTCTTGTTATAAGGCTTGGCATATCGAGGTCCTCTTTTCAGAAATCCAGTCAAGTATGTTTTTCAAATAGATTGGAATATGTGGTTAGTTTTATTTCCAAAGAAACCAATATTGATCAGATTGCATTTAATCTCGTAAGGTCTTCGTTGCATCTTTTGCTTCAATTCTTCATGGATGTTCTTATTTAATTTTTTGTTTTCAGATCTCCAAAATTTGCCACTCAGTGTCTTAAGACTTTATGTTCAAGAGATGAATAACGGCATTATGCAGTTGTCGGATTGTTTAGTTGATTCGCTGGCGGAACGAGATGAACTTTTAATGCTACGCGAAGCTAGTGATGACTTTATTGTGCTACTTAGTTTGGTTCACGAGAGAAAAACCCGTGCGTCTAAAGCAGCTCTGTTGGCGACAGCGAAAAATCTAATTCGTTCCAAAGTAAAAATCTTTGTATTATTTTTTTTATTATTTACGTTAACATCTGTTTATTGACAATTCCTTTGCTCATATCATTCAGATATAAAGTGAAATAAATTCAGTTTACTGTAAGTTCAATTAAATCGGTTATACTGTGTATACAAATCAGAGGTAAAAATGAATAAAAACGTAGCCAAGTTTTAGGGTGTTAAGCTTCCTTCGTGAACAGTGGTGGGCGACAAAAGCCAAAGAGATGGAGAAAGCTTCGAGGATAGGCAACACCAGGCAACTCTTTAGACTCATCAGGGAAACGGTGGCACAGTGGTTAGGACTCTCGACGACCATGCACATGGTCCGGGGTTCGAGCCCACACCGGCGCACACCAGATATCTATGGTCGGCCTGCGAAATTTGGGCTACCGATATCCACGCTGAAAATTCTATACTTGTACCAAAAATACAGTATGGAATCAAGCAGTTACCAAAAATAAAAAAAAATAAATAAATAAAAAATCATCAGTGAGACAATCTCGGAAATAAATGGCACTATAATTAGCTCCCAGGATAGACGACTGGATCGTTGGAAAGAGCATTATGAGGAGCAGTTTAATTTGCCCACAGCCACGCTCAACCTTCCGAGCATCCAACACCTCCCTGAATGGGATATAAACACAGGTCCTCCGTCACTAACTGAGGTTACTAAAGCTGTCACCAATCTGAAACTAGGCAAAGCAGCGGGACCTGATGGAATGACTCCAGAGGTATTTAAGTACGGTGGAGACAGCTTACTGTCCGGATTAACTGAGGTACTAGGCAGCGTCTGGGAATCAGAAGAAGTCCCATCGGGTTGGTGTAAGTCACTGATTATCCCCATATACAAGAAGGGAGACAAGTCTTCCTGTGATAATCACAGAGGGATTAGCTTGACTAATATAGTATCTAAAGTCTTAGGCTCAATAATCATGCGTAGACTGAGTGGTGCTCGGGAAGCACAAACACGAGAGAGCCAGGCAGGCTTTAGACCAGGAAGAGGGTGTATTGATCATATCTTCACCCTCCGACAGATTCTAGAACATAGGCATTCCTACCGGCGTCCAACAGTCATTATATTTCTTGACCTAAAGGCAGCATTCGACTCTGTCGATCGGGAAGTTCTCTGGAGATGCTTGGCTGTAAAGGGAATTCCAAGAAAATATATTGCACTGATTAAGGCACTCTACTCGTACTCATACAGCCAGGTGAGGGCTTACGGCGAGCTGTCATCTGAACTGATGACGACCAGTGGTGTCCGTCAAGGATGCCCATTATCTCCTTTTCTATTCAACTTCATCATAGATGTGTTAATGGACTTAACCCTAGGTGACTTCAGCGATTCAGGGATTGACTTGCTACCGGGGAATAATCTCGTTGACTTGGAATATGCAGACGATATAGTCCTTCTAGGCGAAGACGCTGACGAAATGCAGAGTCTTCTAAACACCTTGAGCCGCAATCTACGAATGTTTGGCATGCGATTCGCTCCCGCCAAATGCAAGATGATGTTACAGGACTGGACTACATCGACGCCTAGTTTAAAAATAGGAAGTGAAGTGGTAGAGCACGTTGACCGCTTCACTTATTTGGGAAGTACCATCAGCCCCAACGGGTTGATCTCTGACGAAATCTCAGCACGAATACAAGGGGCTCGTTTCGCATTTGTTAGTTTACGCCGACTCTGGCGTAGACGAGATGTTCGACTATCGACCAAAGGGCGGGTGTACTGCTCATCAGTCCGCTCCGTCCTCCTTTATGGTTGTGAGACCTGGCCACTGAGAGTGGAAGACATGAAAAGACTAGCTGTCTTTGATCATAGGTGCCTGCGTTCTATTTCCCGTGTAAAGTGGCATAATAAGGTGAGCAACATGGAGGTTAGGCGTAGAGTTCTAGGTAAACAGGGGAAATCAATCGACGAAGTCGTGAAGCTACAAAGACTGAGATGGTTAGGACATGTGTTACGTATGCCAAGCCATCGCCTCCCTCGACGAGCAATGTTAGCGGATATAGGGTCAGGCTGGAAAAAAGCTAGCGGCGGTCAAACAAAAACTTGGCATCAGTCAATGAAATCCACAACAGTTGGTCTAAGCCACGTAGGAAGGTGTAGACTTCCAGGCTGGGGTCCTCGGGACGGTAAAAATCTATGGTTGGAAACAATTGGTGACATGGCTCAAAACCGTTCTCAGTGGCGCAGATGCATCCACTCCCTGTGACTTATGATCTTCAATGAAACTGTTTTGTATTTCTTTATTACTCCTTTGTCTCACACCTCTGCTCACTGTTTCTATTATGCTTTTCTTGTACTTTCTTCTCTTGCTTCGCGTGCTACACGGAATGTGGCGACTTGAACTTCCGCACATTTGTGCAAAGTTCTATGTCGAAAACAGACAGTCAGACAGTTAAACTTCCTTGAAGATTTTATTTCTCACCTGATTTAAGTGTTGTGATGGGAAGGTCATCATTTTAGTGATTCTATCAGTTGAATAACCATTTAACGAGTACCTCAAATCAATAATCTTAATTCGGACAGCTTCAACTTATGAATAAACATGCCATACACAGAGATTTGTCAGGGATAAGCTAGTGTAACAACTTGCCTAAAAGGCTTATTTTTATAGTTATCTTGAATGAAGGTTTCAGACAAACTCATTGTTTATAATTTTTTACTGAGTTGGGAACGGCTTTCGTAAACACTCATCAGGAAACTGAGAGATCACGCCTCTTGTTTATTCTCAGTTATCACCAGTATGTACCTAAAATTGCAGACACGCTAAAAATCGTGATTTTTAAATCCTTCGTGGTGTCATATTAGGCTAATATATTTTTCCAGCTGACCATATAGATCTAATAAGAGAAATCTCAACACCATCCTGTCCACCATTGTATTTCTTGATCATTAAAACTTAATCATTCAGAAGAAGTTAAGCTTATTTTTTTCGTGTTGGTGAAACAGTTACTTCCACGATGTCAAATAATATTCAAATGCTTTGTGCTGGAATCGGAGAAGGAATGGAAAAGATTTGGTAGCTCATGTGAATGGTTTTGGTGTTTCTATGCTCTCTGAGCTCTCATTGTCCATCTAGACAACGCCTTCATTGCTAGTTTCAGAGCGAAATGAAAGTTCTAAACCCAACATAAATGAAGTATTTCTCCTTCATGATGACTTTAGCTGTGATTGGTTGCGTCTAAGGTTTTCCTTGTCATTGAGATACAAGCAAACCATAAAATATGAAGATTCCCATTTTCAAAAAAATTCTGAACGCATATTCTAAAATTCCTTATTAAAAGTACAAAGAATTTGTATATTTCCCAAATTTATCTTAGTCTCCTCTTTTCCTTTTCAGTTTTGTAAAGGTCATAAAAAGACTACACGTCCGACATTATTTTTGCTATCAACGTACGTATCTGCGTCTCTAATTTTGGTTCTCTGCAGTCGCACTCGTTATTTTTATGTTTTAAAAGATGGCACTTATCATTTGTTCAGTGTTGCAAATCTGTTTTTCTGGTGCTTAATTAGTTTAGCAATAAAAACTGGACCGAGCGTCAAAAAAGGTGAATTTTTCATGTCACATTTTAGGCGACAGTAAGCTGTCACTTTGTTTTTCAGTGCTGCCATCGTTGTACGTCATGTGTCGATACAATGAAATTTTCTCTGGTATCATTCAAAGCTGAACTGATTTGAGACCGAATGTATTGTGGTGATGGTGTCTTCACTTCATCCATCTTAGAATACAGGCTTGTTTTAGCAACACTCCATAATGATCATACATCGTAAGCTGTATGTGGCTGTATTTTTGAATATTGAAAAGCCCCACTGAGGTTCTTATAAGTTGTTCCCACCAAGTGTGTAATTACAAGGTACGTGTTTGACCGTCATTCTTAATGGGGTACCTTCTCACGTTTGGATGTCACTGCATAACTCATGCATTAGATCGCCGTTAATAATGTCTCCATCATTTTCTCATTAAACATAGCAGAAAATCTAACTTTAGAAACATTTTAGTTATGAACCCCCCCCCCTCCATAGATTAGTGAGCAACACAAATAAACTTAACTGATAGAAACATCATTGAGTTTTGTGTCAAAGTTGTAGAGGTAATTATAAATTTTGGTGTAGTTGTGTTCTCTGAGCTGAATGGTTGAGTTGTGGAACTTTCAAAATCTCCTTCAACCTATAATTAGAAATGCATACCCTTCATTGAAATGACGTTGAGGATTATTGTTGAATTTACGAAATATGACATTAGTAAGATTCATTCAATGTCTACTAGGATTTAGGCTTAATTGTGCAGCAACTTAACCGTGTTAACTACAGTTTTATGTGTAAAGCTAGCTATACTAACACAACTTTTGATAAAACCTCTGAATATTTTTTTTTTAAATACAGAAGCGTCTAATTTTGCATTTATATGTGGCTTTCTTACATCTTTTCATAGTAAAAGTTTAGTTCTGTTTTGTCGCTTGATTTTCAGAATGTCTAGAAAGAAAGTGTTCATTATTCCTAGCACTTTAACTTTTGTTTTGATGTTTTAAAGTTTTATATTCTCCTGCAAAAATTGTAGATTTTATATCTCGTCAGTGTTTTAAATATTTGAGTGTCGTTTGGAAGAAGTAATTCTAATATATATCTTGATTTAGAATAATCATTTATCATATATTATGTATTATATGTGCGTCGGTGGCGCAGCGGTTAGGACGCTCGCCAACCGTGCACATGATCCGAGGTTCGATCCCCGGCCGACGCAATCCCAAACCTCGCTAAGCCAGAAATAATGCTGGTAAAGAGGAAAGGTTGGGCATGAGGCTAGGAACCCCATCCTGTAAAAACAAACAGTGCTACAGAAACTCCAAGCCACTAGCTTGAGGCCCTATGTTCCACTGGGAACGTGAAGGAAAAATTATTATTTTATGTATTATATGCAGGACAAACGTAAATTATGCAATAGATTTATCAGTTAACCAGAAACCAACTGATTTGAATTGCCTGCCTCTAAGGTCATTCAGTATAAAATACATTACATCGCTGATGATCCCAGTTCCAAACTAAAAGAATATTGTAACTTGTGCCACTGATAAGATGTATCAATACTATATAAAGAGAGACGTCCATCGCCACTCAAAACTACCAAATTGTGGATAGATTTAACGTCAAAGAAAGGAGATGATTCAGCGTTGCGGCAAATCGTGGAGACACGAAGAGAAGACAAAGAAACACAATACGAAGGAAAGGCAGAAATAGTACAACACAGAAAATATGGGCAAATGATGATTTGCAGATAAGGTGTACATAATTTCGCTACATAGAGATAACAAATTCCAAATAAACATTCCTTTGGCAAGTATCTTGTCCTCTTCCATTACAATATCTGTCTGGTTACTTTTTTGTTTTACGGTTTTCTGAATATTCACACAGGTCAGTATGTGCACTCATAATACAAACCTTTTAGTTTCTTTTATCTATTTATCCGGTGATGGTTAGTATGCATTTCAAGTAATTATCTAGTTACACTGGTTTTTAAATTCATTTTGGAAATTTCATTTTCTCCTGGTCTATAGCAATATTTTGATAGGTACTCATTTCTAATCTTTTTAGACTTTATTTCGTGTTTCTACTCCATGGTTTACTAAGAAATCTGACATGTCAGCTTCCAGTACATTGTCACTAATTGGATCGTCACATTTGGGGAAACCAGTGACTACAAAACCGGTTAGAAATGAATCACTCACAAATGTTCCAGTTAATTCAGTCCATTTAGATTTGGAAAACAATTCTGTTGCTTATGTTGCTTCCCTTAATTTGCACTCAAAATTAAGGCGACCTAGAACGCAAGCTATACCTCATATTCATTTAAACAACCATATAAATGCTAAAAACAAGTCAAATTCACCGCCTACTTCAGTTAGTTCTAAACCTGTAGGCGGATCGGAATCTTCGGAACCTGTTGGTGTGTCATCAGAGAGCATAGCGTCGATACCGGTCAAACAAGCAAAAATTCGCTATGAAGCCCTTGTGAATATGTGTAACTCAACAAACTGGCCGAATGGCAAGCCTCAAGAAAGTCGAGTAAGTCAGTGTTTGTTAAACATCGTGCAATATTATACACCATAGTCGTTTCACTATTTAATTGATGCACACAGTGGTCTTTGAAGTAATAAGTGTGGGGAATTATAGCACTTCACAAAATGGTATAAGTGACGGAAAACATCAAAATCTGTGACAGCAGTAAGAAAATCTTAGTTTCAGCATATACTATTAACTTCGTTTTGCATTAATTAAAGAAACCAATGGAAAGTTAATTCTTCAGTTATTACATGCAGTAAACCAAACAGTGATTCCTAGTGATTATTTATTAGCCCGAATTTCAATATTGAAGTAACGTTATTTCTGAAGATGTCTGTCTGGATTCAACATAGAACTTGGCACCGGAGTGCAACAGTTCGAGTTGTCACGTTCCAAATAACACACAGAAGTAGACAAGAAGATGAGTAAAGAGAATCAATAGAGTTTGACAAGTATAAGAGTGAAACAGAATGGGTAATGGTAGAAAGGAATATGAAAGATTACAGAGACTGAATACATCTGCGCCATTGACAACGATTTTGAGCCATGTCACCTATTGTCTCCAGCCATTGATTCCTAGAGTCAGTCCCGAGGGCCCCAACACGGAAGTCTGCATCTCCCTAACTGACTCAGTTTAACTGTCAAGGATTTCATGGATTGATGCCATGTTTTTGTTTGGCCACCACTTACTCTTTTCCAACCTGTACCTATATCAGCTAGCAATGCCCGTCGGGGGAGGCGGTGGTTAGGCATGCGTAGCACATGACCTAGCCATCTCAATCTATGTAACTTTATAGCCTCGTCGATTGATTTTCCCTCTTTGCCCAACACTCGACGCCTAACGTCAACATTACTTACCTTATTATACCACCTAACGTGAGAAAGAGATCGTAGACATCTATGATCGAAAGCAGTCAATCTTTTCATGTCTTCAACTTGTATTGACCATGTTTCAGAGCCATAGAGAAGGACGGAGCGAACTGCTGAGCAGTATACATGTCCCTTGGTTGATAGCCGGGTGTCAACGCCTACGCCAGAGATGGTGTAAGTCAGCGAAAGCAGCTCGAGCTCTTTGGATCCGTGCTGAGATTTCGTCGCCAATCAGTCCGTTGGTGCTGATACAACTTCTCAAATAGGTGAAGTGGTCAATATGTTCCATCACTTCACTCCCTGTCACTAAACTAAGAATTGACGTAGATGTCATTATATCTGTTGTTGAGACATCCAAGATCAAGTATCAGTACTTGGTGAACATTGAATAATTTCATACCACACCACAAATTTTTTCTATTATTCCTATTTCTTTTGGTGTTATAAGTGAAGGGTTCGCCAAATACATGACAATCAGAAGTTTTACAGAAATATATCTTTCCTCTTCAATGCATATTCTGTAAAAAGCTTTCAAGGAAGACGACAGTCGTAATTTCGAGTGCAAATTGTTATAAGTTCGAAATAGAAGACTATTTCAATTTTCATCAGTATAGTATCTTTTCTGTCAAAGGGTCTTCTGCACATTTATGAAGTCTGTTGACTGTATATTTAGCTAAAGAGATTTGTTTTTTAAGTAATATAATCCAATCGGGTGTGAAAAGGTTAGTGGACAGGGATTTTTACCAAATAGAGTTTAGCTGGTATAAGATGGTCGGAGGCAACCAACAGGAAGCCTTAGACTTAGGTTTCGTGCTAGTTGGCAGTCGTCAACAAGGCGTAGCTGCAACCTTGAAGGAACTCACTTCCCTTCTGAGATTCGAACCCGTATCACCCAGTGCTGCAGTCAGAGACGCTACCACTGAGCTATTGGGGCTCACAATCGACTAATAGAATTTAGTCTGCACCAAACGAAGAACTAGACATATTACGCTAGTTACTAATGACTGACATAAACTTACTTTGAAGTGTATCTCGTTATCAGATTATCATATGAGTTCTTGCAAATTAATATGTAGGATATTATTCACCAGTAAGGTGGTGACTATATGCTGTAACTAAATCGTGGGCTCTGTGTTACTTCATTAGTTTGTTCACCTCTCATGTTTTTTCTTATGTATTCTGTCATTTCGTTTCAGTGTATTTATACTTGTTACTGTTTTTAACTATGAAAAGCAATTCTGCATGAGTGTCTAGTTTATCTGTCCAATTAATCCTAATGTATGTGGTTGTTAAAGCTATTTAAAATTGGTCATATCTGTATTTATGATTTAGGCTGTAAACTACATATGTCTTATGGTCAGGTGATTTTACGTAAATAAAACTAGAAATCATGCTCATAGTGCGTCGGTGGTATAGCGGTTAGGACGCTCGCCGACCATGCATATGGTCCGGGGTTCGATCCCAGGCCGGCGCACTCCTTTACCTCACTGAGCCAGAGATAATCCTGGTAAAGAGGAAAGTTTGGGCATGAGGCTAGGAACCCCATCCTGTAAAAATAAATACTGCTACAGAAACTTCAAGCCACTAGCTTGAAGCCCTATGTTCCACTGGGAACGCGAAGGAAAAATTATTATTATTATACTCAGCGAAAGTGTGTGTGCGCGTCGCAGCACTTAGCAGTGAACAGCACATATTGTATACAAACTTTTGATACTGTCCCTCTGCCGAAACCTTCCAACCAACAATACAGTGGTTGTAAAGCATGTGACAAAGTTTACTCAGATCAAAATACATTTCACGATTTTAAAGCTGCATCTGTTGACCTTTATCAGTAGTCAGTCAGTTGTCTTTTGACCTGATGGAAACTAAGCTGACTTCTGTATTAAAGCACACACTTTGTGAATGTGATGAAGTTTTTTATGTTTCAAGTTATTAAGATGTGAAATCCAATCTCTCAATTGCATTACCGTTGTAGAAAGAGTGCGACTCCACATTATCTGCACAAATGTTACAATGCTACTACACAAGTCGATTGTTTTGAGACACGCTATTATTATAACTTGAATAAAAAAATAGAAATTCCAGTCTACTCATCTGTCAAAGCTAAATAAGTTTTCTGACAATATTTATTACTGTCACAAATTTAACTTTCTTTTTTTGTTTCCCTTTCTAGTCACTACTTTTACGTTTACCATATCGAATTCAACCTGGTGTCGGTATTTCAATGCAAGATCTACGTCTACTAAATCAAAGTAAGTTTAAACATGCTTTATTACAAATTAAAGTCGTGCTAGACATACTACTGAAAATTCACTTCTAACGCATATATGTGTGTATATATTCTAGTTATGCTAAGCTGACATGCTGAAGCTTACAAACAGTGACTTTGCGAATCTGCTACTCCTCTTCACCATAACCTGCGTTATGTGTATGAGTAAACTGTGCCGTTAAACAAATATTTAATTAGAAGTGGGTTTCAAGTAACTGACAGATGTTATAGACCTACATCTATCGCTTTATTTGACTTTTTACAGACTGAAATTCTACATTGTTTTTTAAGCGATCGCTTTCATCACAATCATCACAACATAGGCTAAACGATTACCTATCGTGAAAAATTGGGAAATTTCATACCTCAACCACGCATGTGGTTCAGGGTTCGATCCCCAGCCAACGCACTCCTTTACCTCCCTATACCAGTAATAAGACTGGTAAAGAGGGAAGGTTGGGCATGAGGCTAGCAACCCCATCTCGTAAAAATAAATACCACTGCTATCGAGACTTCAAAGCTCTAGCTTGAAGGCCTGCGAACGTAAAGAAATAAAAAAAAAATACGATTAAAGTACATTGATGAATTTATATTTCGTTTGTAAAAAGGGTTTTTAGTGTGTCTTACGGTAGTTATATTTTTATCCCTATGTTCAACAACAGGCTCCTGATCAGGATCCGTTCGTATACTTAACAAACATATCTTTCAATAGAAACATCTGTATTTGTTAGTTATCTGTAAAAATTACAGTGATTAGAGGTAAAATAAGTCATAATACCTAATCACGATAGTACTGTTTGTAAGCAGATAAGTCAAATACTTGTCGGTTGAAGGCAATCAATGATTGATATTCAGTAGAACTAACCTTACTAACTGACTTTAGTATATTATCCTTCTGCGTTCGTTAGTCGTTTTTAAGCTTATCATATACTTTTGTTTCAGTCTCTTAGTAACTACACTTTCTTTCTTATGCCACCAGTCAGTATGTCGGATATTTAAATGTGAAAATTATGTGTTTACCCATAAAAAAACAAATGAAACCACAGAAAATTAAGATGTACACGAAAGAGAGTAATTCGATGAAGATTATTGAGGATCTTCACACTCTGGATAATGATAACACTATGTGGATACATCTGTTCACAATTGTAAATTTTGAGCCCTGTTACCAGCAGTCTCTAACTTTCTGATTCCTAGTATTGTGAGGAGTCCAGTCAAACAGTGTACAACTTTCCGATTTGGATCAAACTAACAGTGGAAGACTTCATAAAGTACTGCCAGCTGGTCTGGTTTACTCATGTAAAATTTATCTTCTTTACTTTTATTCTATATAGTTCTCTATGCTACTGTTTTGGAAAATCCAAAAATAGAAAAATTACTTGATAGCTACATAATGAATGGTAGGTTTCTGATTAGTCCTGTTTCTATTTTCGTTAAGTGATACACATTTCTCTTTATTGTATTATTTTTAATTTTGTGTTGTCAGAATAAATGATTGTTCTAAAAGCCATTAGTATTCCTTATTCCTCTCTGATCAGGCTCCAAGAAAGTCATTACTTTGCTGTACAGTAAACACCGTTTGTGCAGATACTCATTGTGTATGTATGTTATAGTATGAGGATAAAAGTGATCGCAAAGTTTTTTTCCAGTACAGCGTAGTAAACGTCACGCAGATATTCTAGTTGCGTAAAAAATAGATACGACACTTGAAACAGCTAGACGTAACATCTGATGTGGTTTCATCATTCCTCTAAGCACATAACACAAAATTGTATAAGGCTAACTATAGATTAGTATAATTTTCCCTTCATGTTCCCCAGTGGAACATAGGGCTTCAAGCTAGTGGCTTGAAGTTTCTGTAGCAGTATTTATTTTTACAGGATGGGGCTGCTAGCCTCATGCCCAACCTTTCCTCTTTACCAGCATTATTTCTGGCTTAGCGAGGTTTGGGATTGCGTCGGCCGGGGATCGAACCCCGGACCATGTTTATGATCGGCGAGCGTCCTAACCGCTGTGCCGCCGACGCACATAAGGCTAACTACCCAAGGGAAATTCAAATTGTAATTAACCACCTCTATTCTATCCATTCAAGTAGGCTTAAACAAAAGGTGGGGAAATTTGTTTTGGCTATAATTTATATACTCATCCAGTACTAAAATAAAAGCCTACCTGCATATGAATTGAATCTCTAGCTTTCCACTCACTAATTCAAGCTCTATATTACTATTGACTACGGTCACTACTATCCACCACGATCTAAAGCACAAGAAACTCCATATTTCAAAGGAGACTGACTGATTCAGTTCGACAGGTCGATAACGAATAAGTCCAGTACTTTGGCTAACAGAATGCTCATTATTCTAAATCTTCTTTAACGTAAAAGTGTATTTCAACTTAGCTTAAAATTATTTTTGTAGATGTTTGGACTCTAGGGGAATCAAAAACCTCAAATAATACACACACGTAATGTTAAGTTAGCTGCAATATTGCGTAATAAATTCTCGATGTATCCAAGTGGCTATGACATTAACTGTATTGTGCATGTATGATGATTTCTTTTATAGTTACCAATGCCAACGGTATTGCTGACTGGGTGAAAGCGGTTGAACCTCCAAGGTGTCATGACTCACAAACATTGAAGATCACATCATGCCAGGGACGAAATCATCATCATATGCCAACATCAATAGAAACGCAGTGTGCTTAAAAGTCTTTCATCTGTGTTCTCGTTATCTCTTTCCTCTTGCTTCCATTCTATTTTCAAAAAGTATATACTGCTTTTGCAAATTCTACTTACTCCCAACGCTCGGTGTGTATTTGTTTCTCGGCATCAGTAAATACAAGATATTTGACCGTAACTAGTTAACATTTATTACCCACCAGAATATGCATTTTGTTTTCTAAAATAAGTTATTTTATTTTATATATTTGTCATTTTCTTTTCTGCTCTGGCTTTACTTTAACTTGTGCAATAATTTGATTATAATTTCAGCTATTTTTGAGTTTTTTTCCCTTTTCATCTAAGCTAATAATGTGCCATTTATGTGTAATGTGTTAGATTCCAATGGTACCGTTTCATCTCTTAATACTGTTATATTTTGATTTTTTCCCCTGCCCCTTTCTCGTAATCACCTGTCGTGTGTACACTGTTCCTCTAACCTTCTGTCGAAATATTGACTTGGTTTCCATTTTCTAATTGATTTATAAAAGTTGGGTATAGGAAACAGCTGATTGCTTGTTGTAATTTTGATAATTTGCGCTCACAGTTCACTTCACTTCACTAATATTAATTTTTATTGTTCCTATTTTTGTCCATTAATTGACTTTTGTCTCTGAATGTCACTCAGTAGAACTCATATGTCTGCTGTTTTTTTTCTTACTTTATTGCGCACTTATCAGTGAAGTGTTTTCTGTAACAATCGCAATCGCTAAAAGTTTAAGATATGTAACTTCGCATAATAAAATATTTTCAATGGCTTCATTGTCCCAAAAAACTGGCTCACAAGTTTTCCGTTATCCAGCTACTCATTGACTTAATCACCCAGATTCGCACCCTTCTCCACCTACTTTAGCCTGAGCAATTAAGCACTAGCATCATCGCCCATACAGTCAGCCTCCCCGACCGAAAGCTGCTACCTTGACGTGGTGGTCGGGCTTGAACACCGCAATGACCTAATCAAGCTATACTGGCTGAGACTTATGTCTCTTGAGGTTCTACCATGCCAGGCAGGTTGTTTGGATAGCGGTTAAACAAAAAGCAGCTACCTCATCCAATACCATGATCCAAACAAATTCACAAAATTTCATGCCGGATCGGCCGTGGCCCGGATTAACAACGACCGCGCTTCCTGCTGCCGTGTCACAGGGCGGGAGTGATAAGTATGCTACTGAGGCACACAAAACAACAAAGAACGAACAAAAACAGGCCGCGTGTGACCGGCCTCAAGCAGTTGTCCCCTGGGCTCTGCGGTCACGCAACCAACTTCCACGGTGTGGGCAGCCGGGAAGTAACAATCGCCCTCACAATCCAAAACGCACACAAAACCTCTCTAATCCTCACTTATCTTTGTCTTCATCTTCATCTCTATTACCTTACCTTCCCCCAGTGATGCAACTCCTCTACTTGATGGCTCCTCACTCCCTCTTCACTCTGTGTCCACTAAAAACGACGAAAGCCAAAAAACCACCACGGATAGTCTCCTAAAGCCACGCCACCAATTTCATATAGGAGCATTTAATGTAAGGACACTTTGCCAAATAGGACAACAAGCATCACTAGCTAAGACCCTGGCATCTCGAGCCATTGATGTATGTTGTGTTTCAGAAACACGCATACAAGACCCAAGTGTGGTTATTCACCTAACCCCACCTGGCCAACAGGATGAATCTTCAAAATTCACCTTGAGGGTGTCAGGAGATGCCACAGCTAGTTCACGGGGATTAGCTGGCGTAGGGATAGCTCTGAGTACTAGGGCAGAAAAGACATTGCTTGACTGGATCCCGGTAGATAGCCGAATGTGTGCTGTCCGTCTGAACGGATCAGTAAGAAGGAGAAAGGACTGCACTACTCGCCGATGCCTTTTCGTAATCTCCGCCTACGCCCCCACTGACTGCAGTTCGGATGAAACGAAGGATGAGTTCTACCAAAAGCTGTCTAGTTTGGTGAGAAAGGCTAAACGCTCAGATATAGTCGTTCTAGCTGGTGACTTCAACGCTCAAGTAGGGAAATTGTGTCAATCTGAGAAGGATGTCGGTGGCACCTATGGAGTTCCGTGCCAGCGAACCGACAACGGTGACCGTCTCCTACAGTTCTGTTCAGATAATCATTTGTTTCTTGTAAGCACTAACTTTAAACACAAGGAGAGACACTGTTTAACCTGGCGACCCCCATCATCAAACCAACGCTGGACACAAATAGACCACATAGCAATAAGCTATCGTTGGCGTGGGTCGGTAGGAGATTGTCGCTCCTTCTGGAACACGTGTGTAGATACCGATCACGCACTGGTCCGGGCTCGTGTGTGCTTACGACTGAACGGACGTAGGAAACAGCTGGCGGTAAAACCATCACGCCCCCAGCTCGATCAGGAAACTAAATCCCTATTTGAGGAAGAACTAGCTAAACGCATATCTGAATCGACAGCTGTGCTCACCCTGGAGAAGCCTGGAAGAATATTCAGTCAGCTATAGATACAGCTGTAAAAGCTGTGAATAAGACAAATCCAAAGGTGAGTAAAAACCACTGGATTTCGACTGCCTCATCCGAACTGATAGATGCTAGAAGACTTATTCCGGCGAGCTCCGAATTCAATGAGGAGCGAAAGCTGCACAAAAGGAAACTTACTAAAAGTCTCCGCAAGGACCGTGAACAGTGGTGGGTGACAAAGGCGAAAGAGATGGAAAAAGCATTGGCGATAGGCAACACTAGGCAACTCTTTAGACTCATCACAGAATCGGGCGGGAGAAGGCAATTCATAAGTGAGACTATTTCTGAGAAAAATGGCTCCTTAATTAGCTCTCAGGATAGACGCCTTGAACGCTGGAAAGAACACTTTGAGGAACAATTTAACTTGCCTACAGCCACACTGAACCTCCCCGCCATCCACCACGTACCCGAATGGGATATAGACACTGGTCCGCCGTCTGTAGGTGAGGTTACAAAAGCTATCAGTAATTTGAAACGAGGCAAAGCGGCAGGACCCGACGGAATTATTCCGGAGGTGTTTAAATATGGGGGTGACATACTAGTTTGTAGATTAACTGAGGTACTAGGCAAAGTCTGGGAATCAGAGACAGTACCATCAGACTGGGGTAAGTCACTTATTATACCGATATTCAAGAAGGGAAACAAGTCCTCGTGTGATAATCATAGGGGGATCAGCCTAACGAACATAGTCTCTAAAATCCTAGGCTCAGTAATCATGCATAGACTAAGCAGAACTCGGGAGGAACAGACAAGGGAAAATCAAGCAGGCTTTAGACCAGGTAGAGGGTGCATAGATCATATCTTCACTCTTCGACAGATTCTAGAACATAGACACACTTTTCGGCGTCCAACAATTGTCATATTTCTTGACTTGAAGGCGGCCTTCGACTCCGTGGACCGAAAGGTACTATGGCAATGTCTGACTGTGAAGGGAGTGCCAAGAAAGTACATTGCACTAATCAAGGCACTCTATTCAAACTCACGTAGTCGTGTAAGGGCTTATGGGGAATTGTCATCTGAATTGGTAACAACCAGTGGTGTCCGACAGGGATGTCCACTTTCCCCATTTCTGTTTAACTTCATCATAGATATGCTAATGGAAGTATCCTTAACTGAACGTAGTGACTTAGGAATCGACTTGTTACCAGGGAATAATCTAATGGACTTAGAATATGCAGATGACATAGTCCTGTTAGGGGAGGATGCTGACAAAATGCAGAGTCTTCTGAACACCTTGAGCAGCAATCTTCGTATGTTTGGCATGCGATTCGCCCCTGCAAAATGTAAGATGCTGCTACAGGACTGGACACGTCAACCCTAACTTAGTGATAGGGAGTGAAGTGATAGAACATGTTGACCACTTCACCTACTTGGGAAGTTGTATTAGCACCAACGGACTGATTGGCGATGAAATCTCAGCACGGATCCGAAAAGCTCGAGCTGCTTTCGCTGACTTACACCATCTCTGGCGTAGGCGTGACATCCGGTTATCAACCAAGGGACGTGTGTACTGCTCATCAGTTCGCTCCGTCCTTCTCTATGGCTCTGAAACATGGCCAATACGCGTTGAAGACATGAAAAGGTTGACTGCTTTCGATCATAGATGTCTGCGATCTCTGTCTCACGTTAGGTGGTTTCACAAGATAAGTAATGTTGACGTTAGGCGTAGAGTGTTGGGCAAAGAGGGAAAATCAATCGACGAGGTTATAAAGTTACATAGACTAAGATGGCTAGGTCACGTGGTGCGCATGCCTAACCACCGCCTCCCCCGACGGGCATTGTTAGCTGATATAGGTTCAGGTTGGAAAAGAGCCAGTGGTGGCCAAACAAAAACATGGCATCAATCCATGAAATCCTTGACAGTTAAACTGAGTCAGGTAGGGAGATGCAGACTCCCGGGTTGGGGCCCTCGGGACTCTAGGAATCAATGGCTGGAGACAATAGGTGACATGGCTCAAAATCGTTGTCAATGGCGCAGATGTATTCAATCTCTGTAATCTTTCATATTCCTTTCTACCATTACCCATTCTGTTTCACTCTTATATTTGTCAAACTCTATTAATTCTCTTCACTCATCTTCTTGTCTACCTCTGTGTGCTATTTGGAACGTGGCAACTCGAACTGCTGCACTTCGGTGCCAAGTTCTATGTTGAATCCAGACAGACAGTCAGCCTCATAATCTGGTACATCCGTAGCATATTCCAGTTAACTGAATACAAACGAATCATTATCTTATGTTGTGAAGTCCTGTGGTTTTACAGACCATATAATACACAGATACAACACAAGACTCGCATAAACGATGAAATTAAGGCAAACCGATTGTGAATAATATATATCGTAGCTTCAAAATACCAACTTCCTAGTTGATTACGACAGTTTATGCAAGCCAGTGCTAAATGCCGTAGTTTTTATCTAGCATATACAATAAGTGAGTAATAGAGGGGTTTCGCGTGCGTTTCGGATTGTGAGGGCGATTTTTACTTCCCGGCTGCCCACACCGTGGAAGTTGGTTGCGTGACCGCAGAGCCCAGGGGACAACTGCTTGAGGCCGGTCACACGCGGCCTGTTTTTGTTCGTTCTTTTTTGTTTGGTGTGCCTCAGTAGCATACATATCACTCCTGCCCTGTGACACGGCGGCAGGAAGCGCGGTCGTTGTTAACCCGGGCCACGGCCGATCCGGCATGAAATTTTGTGATTTTGTATTTATCATGATGTTGGATAGGGTAGCTGCTTTTTGTTTAACCGCTATCCAAACAACCTTTCTGGCATGGTAGTACCTCAAGAGGCATAAGTCTCAGCCAGTATAGCTTGAATAGATCATTGCGGTGTTCAAGCCCGACCACCACGTCAAGGTAGCAGCTTTCGGTCGGGCGCATACAATAAATACGTTTTTAAACTATAGCAAATTATATCATTCGCAATACTGAGAAGATAAATTTGTCGCTATCTCATCTATAAGGATTTGTGTCGATCGAGTGTAGTGAAGCGATAAGTAACTGAGGCACCGAAGGGGGAATTTACACAAGTGTCAACGTAGGTACTATCTTTTTGTGTCCATATTCACTACCTAGGATGACTGCTGGCGCTCATCGGTAAAGCGCGTCTGAGACCTTCACGTAGTTCACATTCTCCCCTGAGAATCGTTCGTCACGTACTATTAAATTCAAAGATGGATACTACTACTAATCTGTTCATGACGGACAGACTACACTTGAATGGATAGTAAGTACGGATCAAATGACTATTTGTGTACTAAAACATTTTCTTGCGAAGTGATCGGGATCAATTCGAAAGCTACACTCGTTAGTCGGTTGTGAACGTTTTGTTTGTTAAGTTTCCAACATTGATTTCGTGAAATTCATGTGTATTTTCTTATCCCACTTTTGTGGAATTTTTGAATTACAGAAATAT